ACTGAGAGCACAGCAGCCCAAGGTTGCATTCCTGTGCTCAGTGAGGGCAGAACAAACTGATAAACTGGGTCAAAGTTATGGGCCTAGGAAAATATTTCCCCAACACTAATCATTCCCATCTTGTTCTTCTCGTCTCCTCAGGAATTGTCTGTGGTTGAGCAGGAGAAAATTGACCAGATGATGATTGACTTGGATGGCACAGAGAACAAATGTTAGTGACTATGATCATTCTGTAAAAAAACAAGGCTATGCTTTACTCTAAGGTTAAGGTTATAATATATATTCCATTAGTCTGACACCATTGATATTGTGTTTGACAAGTGAAACACGAGTTCAGTTGAATTGAGGCCAGATGACCTATGTGACCTGTAAGAAAAACGTTTGGTAACATTACATTACATTGCATTTAGCTGACGCTTTTATCCAAAGCGACTTACAATAAGTACATTCGACCAGGAAGACACAACCTTGAAGAAAACAGAATCATATAAGTACATTTGCTACGATTGCCTATAGTCTACAATAGATGATGAACTGCTTAAATGCTGTATAGTTGTAAGCATGGAGATATGGTGTACAGTATAGACCATTAATAATATACAAATTAAATTATTGTCTTATTAGGTCATGTATTTAAATACTTCATAATTGCAGGTCACTCAGACATTTTATAGGATCATAGTGTATTATAACTCCCAAAAAAGACTTTAGTAGATTATATTGCATTGTGCAGTATTTTATACAAATATTTGATGCATGTTCTTAGATCTGAGATTTTGTATTATTAATGTACCTTCTGATTGCAGTAGGTAGACATAAATGTATATAAATTAATGCTAATATTTTTTGTATTACCCCAAACAGCCAAATTTGGAGCAAACGCCATCCTGGGTATTTCCCTGGCTGTTTGCAAAGCTGGTGCAGCAGAGAAAGGTGTCCCCCTGTATCGTCATATTGCTGACCTTGCAGGAAACCCAGAGGTCATCTTGCCTGTGCCGGTGAGTATCTTTGTACATGCATCAATATCCTGGTATATTTTCTTCATTATTCAGTTTACCTTCCAGGGGATTTTTAATTCACAGCTCTCCTTTCTCTCCACCTCCACCAGGCCTTTAATGTGATCAATGGCGGCTCTCATGCAGGCAACAAGCTCGCCATGCAGGAGTTCATGATTCTGCCTATTGGTGCAAGCACCTTTAAGGAAGCCATGCGCATTGGAGCAGAGGTCTACCACAATCTCAAAAACGTCATCAAGAAGAAATACGGTCAGGATGCCACCAATGTGGGCGATGAGGGAGGCTTCGCTCCAAACATTCTGGAGAACAAAGAAGGTAAAAGGGATGATTTATTTTGAGCTGCTGGTAAATAAACCATTTTAAAGATAAGCACAGCTTTCTGGTTTATTTTCCAAAAATAAATTGTCCAGTGTCAAACTGCTATAATCTCAAAAAAACAAAAGACCAAAGTACAGCCAATAGAAGAAAAAGAAAACACTGTAAACAGGCAGAGAAAACAACACTTTTGGAAAGGTTTGCCGACTTAAAATGTTACTTGTTCTGCAGTTGATTGTGTTCTAGTGGAGTGTCATACTGATTGTTTAACTCTGCAGCTCTGGAGTTAGTGAAGGAGGCCATCGCCAAGGCAGGATACACCGATAAGGTTGTGATCGGCATGGATGTGGCAGCGTCTGAATTCTACAGGGAGGGAAAATACGATCTGGACTTCAAGTCCCCCGATGACCCGAGCCGTTACATCAGCCCTGACGAGCTGGCCGATCTCTATAAGAGCTTTGTGAAGGATTATCCAGGTAACGTGCAGACACTTTCTCCTTTTATACATGATTAAGCAGGCAGAGAGCAGGATACAATATAGTACAAATGTAATCTCATGAAGGTGAGCTACACACATTGTTTGCTTTGTTCAACACAGATTTTCTACTTCAACCACCTTTTTTCATCCTTGGGAAGCTTTCAAAAACAACACTTATGTTCATATTAACATAAATTCCTATTTTGGATCTTAAAATACACAATAGAAAGCACTTGGCAACTTGAGTCTTAAACAAATATTAAACAGAAGAGGGGAACAAGTTTGAAAGTCATGTCCTTTTTTGAAGCAAGTAAACCTCATCAAAGTACTTTCCAAAAAGTAAGATTACACAGATTTGTTTACTTTGACTCGACTTGTTAATGCCAAGGGGAGTTTTATTTTTGTATTTCTGTCACAACACACACTGTTTTTGTTCTCATGAAATTAACCCTGTACAATGTTATAAATGTTAGTTCAAACCTGCATTTTATATACTGTTTTTACAAGCGATGATAATCTCTACCTGCCAATGATGACATGAATCAATTTTGTTAAAACATCTGATTATTATTGGGACCTTGTGGCATAGTTAGACTAAAATAACCCCATTCACGTGGGACTACCTATGAACTCCCTATCATTTTTTTATAAAATTGATGATGGACGATAAAACTTGACATTACTCAAGTTTCTTAACTTGTTGGACCTAATATATTACTTATTATTTGATAACAAGCTGGGATTGGTTGATTATGGAGCTGTCTGATTTGGTTTTGAAGACTCTTTTGATGGAACAACAGATTTCAGTTTGAAGCCCTAACGATCATGTCTGCATGTTTTTATACGCAGTGGTTTCCATCGAGGATCCCTTTGACCAGGACGACTGGGCGGCCTGGTCCAGCTTCACAGCCAGCACAGAGATCCAGGTTGTTGGAGACGATCTCACGGTGACAAACCCTAATCGCATCAGCAAGGCTGTGGAGGACAAGGCCTGCAACTGCCTGCTGCTTAAGGTCAATCAGATTGGCACAGTAACTGAGTCCATGCAAGCGTAAGTCAATACTTGACATCTAAAATAAATCAATTGAGTATTAGACTATAAACAACACAATGACCGGTAATGTCCCTCATCGGTCCTGCTCACAGGTGTAAGATGGCTCAGGAGAATGGCTGGGGGGTGATGGTCAGCCATCGCTCTGGAGAAACCGAGGACACCTTCATTGCAGATCTGGTGGTCGGCTTGTGCACTGGACAGGTAAATGCCGATTTAAAAAAATAAAAAAGGGAATGCTTGAGTGTGACTCTTAGGGCTGTACCGAATAGAAGCGGCATCCAATACGTTGACATAATTATATTCAAATACTTTTTCTGTTGCATTTTATGAATGTCTTTTTATTCTGTTTAAATGCAGTATTTCCTTCTGATAATTTAAGACATCCGATCCAAACATTTAGAATAATTCTCGAGTGTTGTACATTTTGTTTTTTAAAACAATAGATGTAGTAATTTCCTACACAAAATATTCTGCTTTAATCCATATTTGGTGGTGTTTAGGCCTTAAAATACTGCATTTATCTTTTAAGGGTGGTGACAGACATGCTATAGCCCTAGTTTCTTTTGAGAATGTAATGCCTTTGACATAAATGTAAAAAAATATAATCCCTAATTACAATGAAGTAATTGTACACATTTTGTCATGAAATTTCAGATCAAGACTGGGGCACCCTGTCGCTCTGAGCGTTTGGCCAAATACAACCAGATACTTAGGTAAGTCTAAAACAAAATGAGGAATATCATCCGAATAGTGTAAAAGTTTGAAATGCGGCCGTGCATGCATTATATTGTTTTATTGCTTGGGAATTCATTTTGGACAATTAACAGAATTGTGTGTGTTCTTGGCTCATATTGTTTATGAACTTTTTACGTTTTAAAAACAAAGGGAAAGGTCTACATGTAAAGAATAAATGCATACAAAATAATAATAACTTATTCTCCTTTCTTTTTCTTTTTTTTATTGCAGAATTGAAGAGGAGCTGGGGGACAAAGCACGTTTTGCTGGCAAAAACTTCAGAAAGCCAATTTAAATGGATGGTGCATTTACCTAACATACAAATGGATCCATGCATAGTAAATCCATGACCACACATTGGATAAAATAAACTAAAAACATGAAATGAAAAACACATCGGAGCTATTTGAAATTGAAATTGTAACAATCAAGTCTTCTACTGTATTATGTTCCGTTTGTTAGTGTGGGTTAAAATAACTTGAGTAAAATACATTTGCAGCGCTGAATAACTGTTATCACAAAATCTGCTCTTTGAGACGGTTAATAATAAAGTTGTATTAGTGACCAAATGTATCCTGATTATTTATTTCATTTTGCTGTTGTAAATGGTTTTAATTTGTTTTTAAAAATGATATATATTCCCAGGCATATTATTTCAGCGACCTTAATACTGTAAATTAAAACTAATGGGTACCTCAGTATGCAAATACATTTAGTGATCTTTGTAGCCTCAAAATAAGGGAAAATATACATATGTGTTGCATGTGTAATCTGTTAATATATCTCAAAAGACATATCGGTAACAAATTCAAGTGTTATTCAGATTTTGTTTGCCATGTCAACAAAATGCTATATTGTATACATAATCTATATTATGTACATAAGGATTAAAACATACCAAATATATTGTATTTTAAAACTTGGATAAGATGTGTTTTACCAATCATACTTTAAATCACATGCAAATTGCAGAGGTTTTTTTTAAACCTTTAAATTAGTTTCGTTTTATAAAGGATTTACACTGGGGAGTGGCCCTCTTGAGAGTCTTTGCATCTGTCCATCGATGTATCTGTTCTTTTGAAATAAATCCTATTTTTTTTTTTTTTTTTGCATGTGTAAAAAAATACATTATAAATAATTAAAGTGATAAGCTGCCCGGTGTACCCGCTAAATCACAGCAACAGATCGCATCCACATATTTTTATTTTTTCAAATGCATATATATTTATTTGTGATGTATACTTTCGTATTGTATATTATAATCCCAGACCCATTAAATACGGCATACCTTGCATTATGTTCGTAGTAAGTGGTTATTCAGGGAGGTTTGTGTCGGTCGGATGTTACTGTCATGGCTTACATAATATAGTTTAATAACCACAGAGTGTTTCATGGAGGCTTCCTCCCCGAGCAGCAGCAGCTGATGATGAGCAGCCTCTCCACGGCACATGCTCAGTTATGCACACCCAGAGAACTTTGAAGGCTTAGCTGTGGCTGCTGAGGTCATTGCACTGGGAAAAAAAATAGACAGACTCCCTCCACTACACCGCCTCCATTTTGAATAGCCATGTAATAGGGGATTCGCATAGTTTTTGTGTGTATCGCCCACTGCGCTGCGTAGTGTCAACAAGCCACATCCAAACAGCCCTCGACATGGACGACCTGTTCAGTCCGCGGAGGTAACTTGATTAACTTACCGTTTGCAAATATATTTTAGTTATTGTGCATTACATATGTATTTTTAACAGTTTTGCAGCGTGACTTTGAGAGCCGTGTGTGTGAAATAGTCGGAGTGTCAGTGGTCACGAAGTTCGTGTCTGGCTAACAAGCTAGCCAAATAACAGCGTAATGTTACTGTCTGGTTAGCTAGCAGCTCCTGGTTGAAAACACAAATGTTTATATGAACGCCTAAATGCAACAAGCAGTTGTTTCTGCAGGTATTATTTCAAATAATGTCACCATATGCAGATTGTGCATCGTTTATTTAATCGGTTGTTATTCCCTGTGGGTGTGCTGACACTGGTCGCTGTGTGTGTGTCAGCGACGTGTCGTGCACGCTAACATTGATATTTGTTATTGATTGCATACTTTAGCTCGCAGTTAACCCCAAGACAGCCAACTGCTGTCAACCTGTTAGGATTTCACTAAGAAGCACACACTGTTCTCGTAATGGTGACCGTAAAAATTAGCAGCTCATGTATGATTGATTGACAGACAGTCTTTTGCGGTAGCTAGCGTCGGATTTCATTCATGTAATATAAGGAAACGTCGCAGGTCACAGCTGAGATTGGCTCTTGCTGATGTAGGGGCGGGATGTTATTCTGCTGCTGAAATCACAGCTGCTCTGACAGCCAGGATATCGATCACACGTCTGTACTGTGATAATTACCCATCAGATAACAGTGCATACAGCATAGCAGACAGACTTCCTGCACTGACTCGTTTATTGTAAACACAACAATATCACAATTGTACAATCGTCTCACAGTTTTCAACTCGCAATACTTGTGCTTGCTACACTTTGGGAGCTTGCTTGCTGACTTTTTCTGCAGACAAAACTCTCTGGCTTATAATTTGAACACAATATCATCATAATTTCTCCTTTTCAACTGCTAGTTGTTGTAACTACATTGTATACGCTTTAAATACCACTAATGTATAATAACAGTATTATAATAGCAGTGTCTTGGTTTAGTGTAATGCATAATAAAACCAGGATATCATGTTTGTTGCTACATTTTGTGATTTTTGTCCCTTATTTGAAGAGCACACTCACTTTCAACTGTGGACATAACTGAATGTACGTTTTCTTTGCCAATGTCCAATGACTGTAGGTGGCAAATTATTATTAATTCAGATAATGACTCAATGCTTTATTTTTGTTTTCCAGGAGCCTGAACAGCACACAGGGAGAGATAAGAGTGGGACAAAGTCATCAGGTACACCTTTATATTTTGTGTTTTTAAATTAATGAGTTGGGTAGATGGTGACAGCATTTCTGACTATGATGGATTATTTATGGTTATAATGCCAATTGATTCATTGATAATTGTTTGGTCTATAAAATATAACAAATAAAATGTACAAGGTGGTGTCTTTAAATGTCAGTCCAAAACCCAATGATGTTTAGTTTAATATGATATAAAACAGAGAAAAGCAGGAAATCTCCTTATTAGAGAGTCTTGAAATCATCATTTTTGGACCTTTCTGTTAACAAATTGATTCAAAATAGTTTTTCTTGGACAATGATTTTTCGGCTAATCATTGCAGGTCTATTTGTAGAATCACTGATTTGAATAAGTATGTATACAGATTGCAGAGTGTTGGATAAAGCTCATTATGTAACTTGTGAGAACTGTCTGTCCAGTATGATTTGTTATTTACACGTCTTACAGTGACAGTCTATGCTATTCTGTTGTGTGTTACATTTGAAATTCTTTTTGAGTATCACATTATGTTAAACAGATTCGAGCAGGCACCACTAGCAAACAACAACTACATCTATTTGATTATAAGGGAATCCTTTATCCATGAATTACCTTAGTTAGTTACACATAATAACCATTGTTTGACACTTTAATCAAAATGTAAATCATTGTTTGGCAATTACTTTGAAACAAGTCTTAAACATCTTGTCAGTATTGTATTTTAAACAGTGCTTGGGTTTTTACCATCTAATTCTCAGTTTTTCAACATAAATTCAGTTGAGTTCTTTAAGGTTGGTCCAACATTTGTTTCCGGTACTGTCTTGGTCTCACTGCAGGCCAAACTCCCAGAGTTGCAGCCACGGCCCGTTCCCAGTTTGCAGACTCAGACGGAGAGGGAGGATCTGATGTGGATGCCGGGGGTCAATGACTGTGACCTTCTGATGTACCTCAGAGCGGCCAGGTCAGTGTCGGCACTACACTGTGTGTCACCTAGGTTCGACTCTCTTCAGTCACGTATAAGGCGAGCATATTTGCCAAAGTTTGTTAATTATTTTCGTGTCCTTTTTGAACAACTAGATGGGGATGTTTTTTTAAAAGAAAACCTCAATAGCAGCTTTGAATGTTAAAGAAAAATGACATTGGGTTCAGTACTTACTATTAACAATGCTTTTTTTCTGCAGGAGACACCAGTATTATCAAGGATTTCAGAAACACTCCTAATAATCAGACTACATTTTCTAGAAAGATTTGGTATTACCTTCTCTGTATTAACTTCACCTTTTTCTTTCTCCAGGAGCATGGCAGCGTTTGCAGGGATGTGTGACGGTGGGTCAACAGAGGATGGATGTCTTGCAGCCTCCCGTGATGATACCACACTCAACGCACTCAACATGGTGTGGAGCTCAACTCAAATGTACTTCATCTGTATCCAGTAAAGATGCTAAAGATTTATTCAAACATCTCTGTTTTGATCAATTCCAGCTCCATGCGAGTCACTATGATGCAGCAAAAGCTCTCCAGCGCCTGGTGAAGAAGCCTCTGCCGAAGCTCATTGAGAAATGCTGGTCTGAGGATGATGTGGTGAGACGCCTTTAGTTAGTAATACAGCACTGAAGGTCAGTCAATGTTAGACCTTCAGAATGTTTGTGCAGGCGGAAAAAATCCTTGGGGATAAAAAGGATGCCAACTGTTTATGAATGTAACTATACTTAGCATTTTAGACGGTTCAGAGTCCATTCAACTTTGTCTTATAAGGTATTTAATTAACTTTAATCACTTTAATATGAGGGCCTGCAGTAAAATAGTATTTTTTTTTACCCCTACCAGTCTAGTGCTTCATGATAATAACTGTTTGTGTTTAATACATTTTTCTATATATCACAAAATTAACTTTGTCTAAACTGGAGCCTCTTTCTTGTACTGTATGTCACTTAACTTTTCCCACGAACACCCTCCCTCCTTCCCCCCCCCCCCCCCCCCCCACAGAAACGCTTCATCAAAGGCCTGAGACAGTATGGAAAGAATTTCTTCCGCATCCGGAAAGACTTTCTGCCCAGCAAAAAGACTGTAATTGAACACTTCTCATTTGCATACAACATTCTTGTTAGTGCATGCAGTGATTTCACGGCAGCTTTATTTTGTATTAGAAACATAACCGTGATTGTTCTAAAGATTCCTGTTGTCCTCAGGGGGAGCTGATCACGTTCTACTACCACTGGAAGAAAACTCCTGAGGCTGCGGGAACTAGAGCTTATCGGCAGCAACGTCGACAGCCGTCCTCTCGCAAAGCCAAGACTCGCTCTGCAGCAGTCCCCGTAACCCCATCGCTGAATTATTCAGGTGAGCTTCAGACATTACGTTTTGACAAAGTGTGGAATTCAAATGAGCTGGATGACTTTATTGAAGCTGATATTTCTTTGCAGTGGATGCGAGTTCTGCCAGTGAAGACGATCTTGACAGTGAAGACAGTGAACAGGAAATCAAGAGCTGCAGCCACTGCGGTGCAACAAGTCAGTGCATGTTTTTGTGATTTATTGGGCTCAGTATTTTTTAGTACTAATGTTTTATACGTTTCTGTAACAGCCTTTAGATGTGTGAAAAGTGCTTGGGTAAAACGTTCCATTATGCCAAGGTCTTTAACACATCTATAACACATCTATAAACATGCTTATATTGTGTCATATCACTGTGTATTTATAGTTATAATATACATTTTGTTTATAGAGTGGAAACATTACAATAGTAAAATGAATAGTGCATACAATGACTTGATTGTTATTATTGTTGTTGTAGAGCATTACAAGACTCTCAATGAGTGCTCTATATAGCTATAATTATACAGATTTTATTGACATATTCAAATGTTTATAATCTATTCTAGACATGGGTGTCATAGAAAGTGTAACCAGTATTATAACCTTTTTTAAACTCTTGGTCAAACTCTTGCCTAAAGTTTTCTTTTCTTCAGGTTCTAAGGATTGGCACCATGGGCGGAGAGACACCTTGTTGCTGTGCACGACCTGCCACACGCACGAAAGCAAACATGGAAGTCTGCCGCCAGCTTCAAAATCTGCAGTCGCTCCATTCCTGTTTAAACCTGCTAAAGAGGAAGAGGAGGTGAACAACAAGCATGGCATGAGGACACGACGAAGCAGAGCACCTGTAAGCCTAAGGCCCATACAGTTATATTTATCACTTAATAAACCTTCAAAAGAAAGTGTCAGGGCAACTTACATTTCCAATGATCATACAAGAGATCTCACACCCTCATCTGTCAAAATGATTAACATGCAACTTACTGGGAAAATACCTCTCCTTGCATGTGTTTCAACAATATTGAATACTGATCTTTTAATACATTTTTTAAACCAGCTTTCATCTTTGAGAAGTGGCCACAGGAGGCTCACGGGCTCCCCCACCAGTGAGGATCAGCAGTCCAGCAGCCAACCCTCCCCCAGCGGAGCGACTTCTAATTCGCTGAGATCTTCTTCCACAGATAATAAGAACGAATCCAGCAAGAAAACGAACAAGGTAAACATAACTTTACACTTTACACTCTCTTATCAGACGAGCTGGGCTGTTTGAATATGACTCTGACGAGGAGATCTTCAAAGAACTCAGCCGTTTATTTAATGAAAGATAAGTCCGTCCCAGCATGCATGAAACTGAATTATATAACATATTCATAAAATATATATATATTCATAACATGTCATGCTGCTGCAGCCTTACATGCTTGTTCAACATCGCTCATTGAGGTTTTGTGTCATCGTTGTTTTCTGTTTCTTTTTAACACCACTGTGAAAATGTCATCTGGTTTCCATAGAAGATAAAAGAAGAGGTCACATCACCAAAGACAACAAAGCGTGTACGGGAGAGTCCTGCCCAGGAGCCGGAAGAGCCTGAGAAAGTTACTCCTAAAAGGCCGAAGACACAGGTGAGAGGGAACTTCACCACTATTTGAGTCAAATAAAATGTTATCTCTGCAAAGAAAAACAGTCGTCTTGGTTTCCATGCGTCCCTGAAACCCTTGAATATTTTGGGATTTGAGGGGGCAGGGTAATCAAGGCCTTGAATGTTTAGAAACATGACAAATAGACAAAGGGCCATTGAGAGTGTTTGAGTTTAAACTATTTGGGCATGAACAGAAACTTTTCCCTACGTTTTTGAGCGTCCGTCATCACTGTAATCTACTCAAGCCTCTCTCCATGTTTCATTTTCTCTGTGAGCTTCTTTAAAGCCAGCTTGTTTTCATTAAAACAATTCTCAATGTTGTAACAGTAAATAACCTTGATCTACGTCTCAAACTATACTGTGTTTGATGCTGGAATTTGGTGTTTAAAAAGTTCTTCGACCCTAAGCGTGATTTACATAATGTGTGTATTTGTTTCTCCAGGATCCTCGGGGCTCGCGGTCCGAGGGCGAGGCCGAGGTGGAGGAGGAGAGCTCTTCAGAGAGCCGCAGCGCTCAGGACGACGGCAGCAGCGACACCAAAGACATCGACCAGGACAACCGCAGCTCCTCCCCCAGTATCTCCAGCCCGCAGCAGGGCAACGAGAGCGACTCCGACTCCTCGGCCCAGCCCGGGGGGATCCTGCCAGAGCCGGCTGCTGCGGGGGGGCCGGCTGACCCTCCAGCCCCCCAGGCCATCCCCTCTCAGAGCCATCCCATCCTTCATCAGCCACCACAAAGCACTCCTCCTGCTGATGGTGCTCAGAGCCCCCCTCCTGCCTCTCCGGACCCCCCTCAGCCCGCTGCCGGTCAGCCAGCTGGACCAAACTCCCGCCCACAGCCCGCCCCTCACGCTCTCTCTGGTCCCCCTCCTCTTCCGCCAGCACTCGGTCAGGATTATCCTCTTTCTCCAGCATTTCAGGTCCCCCCGGCTCTCAACTCTGCACAGCCTCTGCAGACCCATGGCCCGTCGGCTCAGGCCCTCCAGAGACCCCCACCCTTCTTTAGGGAGTCTCAGCTCCCCCAGCCTTCTCTCTCTGGCCCTCAAATCAAGCCCCCTCCCACCACTCCAATCCCAAATTCACACAAACAGGGTCCACATAATCAGTCTTCTACACCTTTCCCTCAGATGCCTTCCAATCTCCCCCCTCCCCCTGCTCTGAAGCCCCTCAATTATCTGCCCAACCCGCATCCTCCGGGCGCCCCGCCGCCCCCCCCTTCAGCTCATGCCACAGCCTTTGCCAATGCAGTCCCTTCCTACCCAGCTGCCAGTGCTCTCTCAGGTGCAGACCCACCCTGGGAAAAGCATGACTTCCTCTCACCCGCCGGCAGCAGCCTCACTTCCTCTCCCTCCTGTAACATCTTCTGCTATTGGTCCGGTCCCGAGCCTCCAGCCATCATATCCACCTCTGAGACCCTCGCCGAGCGCGGCAGCAGGATGTTCACAAATTCAGATTAAAGAAGAGCCACTGGATGAGATGGAAGAGGCTGAGAGCCCACCGCCTCCATCTCGCAGCCCCTCGCCGGAGCCCACCATCATCAACATGGCCAGCCATGCCAGCCAGTCTGCACGGTATGTGGGGAGGAACTCTGTCTAAGGGAAATTATAAATATCTCCCTCATCTTGTGATAATTGGGGTTTTGGTTAATTTTGCTTTCAACGACAAGCATCAACTGGTAACTTATGGCGCGTTTCCACTGCAGCGGGTAGCCCCGTTTAAGCGTCCTTAACCGTCCTCAAGCGGCCAGGCCGGTTTTTGGTGACGTTTCCATATAGCCTAGTACCGGCCAGCGGGTACTTTTTCCCTCTTTTTCCGGCCTCATAAAATCGTGGTTCCCTCAGACCAGGGCCAGGGCTGAACTAGTGACGTCAACACTCTCGACTGCTGATTGGTCAGAGAGAATCGTCACAAGATCGCGCGCAAGTTCATCCCTAGCGTCGCATATATATCTAGAAGCAAGCTTGCAGCATTTTTATAAACAGCATTTTGTAAACGGAGGAGCTACAAAATGGCTACGTCTAATAAGAAAAGCACACCGTGGTCGACCGAGGAGGTGACGACGTTCCTACATCTCATTGGGGATGATACAATCCAGCGGGAGCTCGACGGAACAACTCGAAATGTGAACAAAAACAAAGCCGATCGCCCCGCCTACACTGCGTTGCTACCCCAGGTCCTAAACTGTAATGGAAATGCGCCACGGCCTAGGCCGGCCAGCGAGGCAGCCCGAGGCCTGAGCGAGGACGCTTAGGGACGCTTAAACGGGGCTACCCTGCTGCAGTGGAAACGCGCCATAAGTGGTTCTTTTACAAGAGTATTTGAAATACAAGAGGCACTTTTGTTTTAGTTCAGCGCTCCAGTCAGTCAGTGAGCTATGGTGCAGTATTTCAAAGCACTACATCCATTGAGGTGCTTACTTTGTCATGTTTTGTGTTTTTAAATATATTTTATGTTGGCTTAGTTGAAGTCTATTGCTTTGTGTGTGTTAAGCTGTTACCAAGAGCAACATCAAACATGGAGCCATTGTTAATAACATATTTGGATTCAAACCAAAAGTGTCTGTTAGGAGTGTCTCTTGGTTTTCAAATCAGCTTGTGATCATAGCTACATTAAGTGTGGTTGAAGCTGTTCGCAGCAGGATGATTATTGAACATTGCCTATTCTTTTCCCATTACAAATAAGAGGTTCATGTATTTCAGACTAGCCTGAATAATGATGCAGTTACCATTTGTACTTTGTTGCGAAGGTAGTCCGTGTTGAATTAATGAATTCCTAGATTTCAGCAATACAGTTGGCGCCTAAATTGTTTTTTAAAAAACTGACAAGAGTCGAGCTCTAAACAACAAACAACTGAATCGTTCCTGAAAGTTTAATAGTTTAATCTTGTCTTTCAGGTTTATCAAACACTTGGATCGTGGTTACAACTCCTGTTCCAGAACAGACCTGTTCTTCACTCCACTTACGGCCTCCAAGCTGGCCAAGAAAAGAGAGGAGGCGGTGGAAAAGTTGAGGAGAGATGCTGAGCACAGTGCTCGACAAGAACGTGAAAGGGAGAAAGACCGTGAGAGAGACAGAGAAAGGGAGGCAGACAGAAATGCAATGAGTGTGAGTCTATTTCTTATTTATAATACATAAGCAATACTAACACTTAATCTAAATGAACTGCTGAAATGAACACTGTCTGAAACACTTTGCTTGCTTGCAGAGAGCCTCCAGCTCCTCCCACGACAGTCGTATGAGCGATGTTCAGATGACGGTTCATGGCCACGGACGCCCCTCCTTTGAGCAGCCGCCCACCAGTGTGGCTGCTGTGCCCCCCTACATCGGCCCTGACACACCCGCCCTGCGCACCCTGAGTCACTACGCCCGACCCCATGTCATGTCGCCATCAAACCGCAACCACCCGTTCTACGTGTCGCTGAGCCCCGGCGACCCCCTGCTGGCCTACCACATGCCGGGCCTGTACGGCGCTGACCCCAACCTCAGAGAGCGCGAGCTCAGGAACCTGCGTGAAAGGGAGCTCCACGAGAGGATGAAGCCTGGCTATGAGGTCAAGCCCCCAGAAATGGAAATGCTACACCAATCTGCCAACCCCATGGAGCACTTTGCCAGACACGGGGCCATCGGTCTCCCCCACATTCCTGGGCCCCCCCACCACTTCGCCCAGTTCCATCCCGGGCTGAACCACATGGAGCGAGGGATGGTGCTGGCTGCGCCTCAGCTGCGCCCCGAGCTGAGCTACGCAGAGCGACTCACTGCAGAGCGGCTCCACGCAGAGAGGATGGCGTCTGTAGGGGCCGACCCCGCCGCCAGGCTGCAGATGCTCAATGTGACGCCGCACCACCACCAACACTCTCACGTTCACTCCCACCTCCACCTGCACCAGCAGGATCCGCTTGGGCAAGGTGATGTTGGAGCTTTTCACTGCTATGACGAAAGATGTGAGGGAGAATTCTTAAGGACTTTAGAACATTTGACGGTTTTACCAAAATGTACTGAATGATTTACTTTCTTCGTCCAGGTCAAAACCCTCATCCTCTGGACCCTCTGCAAGGAGGCCCACGTTTGGCCCGCTACCCCTTCCCCGGGGGCCAGATCCCCAACGCTCTACTGGGCGATCTCCCTCATGATCATGAGATGCTGCGCCACCCACTGTTTGGTTCGTAATCCCAACTCCTAGTTTAGTTTATTACTTTATTAGACAGGGACGGTGCTTATGGGAAGAGTTTAAAAGCACAGACGATAAAAAGATAAAAGCAGTGAACAAAAGTATACAGATACAATTAAAGCCTGCTTAACAGAGACAGTTCTTATAACACACAGATTTACACAAATCTATACAAAAGCATGAAAATACAATGTTTGTCCCTGGGAAATGTTGACAATACATTTAGCAACTATGATACGCTGGAGCAGCTCTGACATTATAAGAACAAACAAGACATAAAACCACACGTAAACACTCACTGCTCTAGTGTTAACACGTTTTTATTTTCTAATGTTGTGGAGAATTAAGGAAGTATGCTCAGAACGCATCAACTCATTCCAACAATTTAAAACCAGTCCCTTCAATTTGACTCTCTTTCCCGTAGGAGCATATCAACGAGAGCTGCAGGGCCAGATTCCTCAGATGTCTGCTGCCCACCAGCTCCAGGCGATGCATGCCCAGTCTGCAGAGCTGCAGAGGATGGCGATGGAGCAGCAGTGGCTGCATGCTCATCACATGCATGGAGGCCAACTCCCGAGTCAGGAAGATTACTACAGGTGAGGCTTTTCAATGTATTATCTAGTGCACAGGCTTTCAACAATCAGAGGTATCACTTTATTATGGTAGCTATGCAGCTTTATATGACTACATTAAAGCCCCATAGTAATTACTCAGTTTCTCTAAGATGGAGCCATAATTATCAACATTATTCTAGTGTTGACACAGTATCAAAATACCTGCCTAAAAAATGTTGATAGTGATACTGTAACAATTTCACGGGAAAACGTCAACTTTAATGTCAAAGTGCTGCTAAAAACCGGTTCAAATCTGGCTGAGATAAGTGTCAGCAATACTGGAAGCTTACTTGTTGAGTTGGGCTTTTATTGTGAAAGGTTAAAACCTAAAGAGTGCGCTTATGCTACTCTTAACAATGTAGAAGCAATCAACAGCTCTGTTATTTAATTACCTTCATAGGCAAGTCAAGTTTATTTATATAGCACCTTTCAACACAAGGCAATTCAAAGTGCTTTACAACAATGAAAGACATTAACAGTAAGACATTCATAAGTATAAGCGCGACTCAGCTACAGTATTTTAGAGTCATATTTCGCTCTGCTCCCGATGCTTTGTCCAAGAGCAGTGGCCGCTCGAAAACAGCCATCGTATGTGAAGCGTGCATATACAGTATGACTCAAAAAACTCGCCCAAAATGCCTGCAGCAGGTGGTAGCATAGCAATGCACAACCACCACCCTCTCATTATTACCCCCACACTACTAATAAATATAGGCTATTGTACCCTTCCTAATGGTAGGGTATTGTGATATATTTCTCATATCAATATACCGTGCAAGACAAGATAATTACACAATGTTTAGTTGAACTCCAGTAAAATATGTCTCACTGACCAAAGTGTTGACCCTGTTTCTTTGTTTCTGTTTGCTGAAGCCGTCTGAAGAAAGAAGGTGACAAGCCATCTTGAGTGCCAGGTGGTGCATGCCCTGAATCCGTACACTCATACCCCAATAGAATACTGTGTACTTTTAAGACTGTAAGAGAGTATTTGTGAGTCCATTTTTTTGTTTTAATATATTTTAGGAAGATCTTTGTGGATCTTTACGTGCATTCCTTGTTCAGCACTTATTGGACTGTCAAAGTCCGTCTCAGATTTTCATATCACTTAAGACTTTATACTAGTTTTTATTATCAAAATGACAAACAATCTCACCCATTCATGTGAGATTTGAAGTGACAGATTTTTCTCTAACAAACTGTAAAACTGTTTCATATGCAGTGACGTGAATTTGCTAATGAAAATATAACTCTCATAAAGGATATGAAAACAGACTGACTTTGGTGTTAAGTTGAAATATCTACCTATGATTTCTAAATGATTTCCTTGTACAGAATGACCTTTTAATCAGTGTTTGAATGACTCTAACGACCTAGCATGACGCAGACTTTTTTTCCACCAAACTAGAGTAGCAAGTTGCATTGTGGTGCTTAGAGCATAGTATAGATTGTTTTTTCTCTTAAATCTGCTAAATATTTGTCTAAATCCTAAAGTTTTATATATCAAGATATCTTTTCACATTATAACCGAAGCTTTTATTCGCTCATTTTTGAGATTGTAAATATTAAATGTTTGCAATATTCTATATGAATGAGTACTATTGATATAGCAGTAGATGTGAACACTTGCCCTTCGATCCAGCACGATAGCAGTAAATCATAAGCTAAAACAGTATTGAGTATTATAAAGTAAGATAATTATTAATTGGACCAGTATATGTCGCTAAGGCAGAACGTTTTGTTAGAATAATGTATTTACATTGTTTTGATGAGAGCAAATGAATTGGAGTGAAACTAAATCCTAAACATTTTAATGGAATTTTTGAAAGAACTGCCTCTAAATTCAATATTTATGTGACATAATATAAAAGTGTATCCATTGCATATTTATTTCAATAAATATTTCTGCAATGACCCCTTGTTCTCTTTGCACCTGGAGTTTCTTTGTATCAATAGCCTGTGGTATATACAATTTATAAGGTACACCTAGCTAAAGCTAATACTTTCCTGTAATAAATTCTACCTTGATGAAGGTCGTCGTCAGTTTTCTTTGAGAGATGTTCATATAACTGATATACCTGGTGATTTAAGAGGATATCGTTTAGTTAAGTTCAGTCATTTTCATTGTGTAACATTCAAATACATACAGCAAACAAATTCACAACAATAAGTCATTACTTTTAAAATAGTAACAAACCAAACCAAATATTATAATGACCCAAAAAGGTCAGTGCTAGAGCCTTAGCTTATTACACGTACAATCTTTACATTCATTACTTTGTACATTTGTCATTGCATACTCAAAATAAAAGAATTGATCAAAGTAAAATATATGTATATCATTGTTTCCCAAAAATGCCATATCTTAGTTTAAAATTGTATAAATAAGATCTTAAGTATCTTAAGTATAATACATCTTTCCATTTTCCTTTAACACATGATTTAACTTATTATCTCTGACTATTATACATCTGTGTTTGAAATGTGTTCTTATGTTTGTAAAAGACACAAATTCCTCTTAGTTCACAGACAAACTTTATTACTTTAGACATTACTTTCAGTTTGTGTGCTGTTGAAATTAAAGACGTTTTTTATTATTTGTCCACAGTTAATATCGGTAAGGGCTTAATTACAGAAACACTTTTTTAAGATGTACTACAGCAGATTGTTCAGGAGTCAAATATAAAAGCATTTGAGACAACAAAACCGGATATGTCAATTCTCTTTAGTTTATATCAATTATATAGGAAAATATATATATTTTTAGCTATTTCTAAAGTTTACATTTTGTTGCAACACAGGTTGTAAAATATCTCAGCAGATGAGCTGACTAGTCACATAGTATTTAGGCACAGTGGTTCATAATGTGGCGGCTGACATGAGAGGACGTTCACACAAACTCTGATTATTCTAACATCACATGAATGCAGCACAATGCCTTGTCTCACAATTGCAACAAATGAAATATATTTTTTGTGTCTGCCCCCTGATTTGTATCCACTCCAGAGTTGAAGGTGTTCTCATAATTCACCCTTCTGCCAAGTTTCATGCAAATCAGGCCTGTACCTTTTCCTTCAACCTGCTGACAGACAAACAAATAAACAGACCAACCAAGCAGTAATACAACCTCGTTGGCAGAGGTTAAAAAAAAATTGTTCATTCATTTCATTGTTCGTTTTGTAGTTTAAAACGGGGTTAACCCTGTCAAGCCTGTGTGACATTCTGGAAATATAATAATCTTAAAGTGTCAAATGTGTAAAAAAACAAATCGTGAGCCTGTGATTAGTCACAAGTTGACATTACTTTGTATCGAATGGGCACAAAGCTCAAAATAAGTGAACCAATGCTTACCCATCATGCACAGCTCCTGCAGTCACTTACTTTACGTTCCTACAACTTACAGGCGGACCAATACTCTACAACGCAACTCTTTTCAGGTTTTCATCCACCTTTTCATCCTCTACGACCTCCCAGAGACACTTTGCATCAGCTCTCTACAAGCTGCCATTAAAACATGCGTGTTTAAAGCCGTATTAACATACAAAGCCATCACAATCACAAAGGGCTCAACAAATTATGAGTATCTGTGCTAACGTAGTGGTCCACATAACATCAGTTTACCCAGTTATCTTAACGTTTAAAATGCAGCTGAAATGTTTTCATGTTTAAACGATAATGCTGGGCATAAGCTTTAACTTCCTTTTGGTAAACAAATCCCATTATAAGATCAAAACCAACAATGTGTTGTTTTTAACTTCCCCATCCTGTCTGTGGCTTTCAACCCTAAGCCAATTTGTTCCAACTTGGTCTTGAATATATGGCCTACTTTTACTAATATTAGAATTTTGTTTTTGTTTGTCTCTTTTCATGGAATCTGTTTACGTAAAATTACTGAACTTAGCTACTTAGCAAAAAATGTCTTACTAGCATACGTGCTTTATTTTAACAAGGAAAGAAATGAAAACTCTGAGGCAATATGACATACAGTACATATATAGTATATATATCCTTATAGATGGACCCAAGTGAAAGTGTTTGTAAATGATTACGCTCTTCTTTGTTGTGTGTCAGGGATCCTGTTAGGAAGGATTCCTCCTCTTCACATACTGCCGCAGGTACTGGATGGCCGACAGCGCACTCACATTTGCCAGCAGAGCTGAACAGGATTAAAATAAAGGTTAATCTGAAGAATTGTCAATCCGCCAAGTTACACAGTTCATCACTTCATGATGAATACTTAAAGCCCCTCAACATGTGGTTTCAAAAATGAAGTCTTCTTCGAGTCCATATTTTAAGGTGTTCACCCCTCAAAAACTCATCAGTTATTTAAAAAGGAAATGCAGGACATCACCCCCAGAAAGAAGCTGACGGAGTAAAGATGTTGCACGGCCTTTAAAGTTTGTATTTTAGACACCAGTTACATTTGTAGATTATTGACTGAAACAGCAGCATATCAATACAAGGAGTTAAGAGCTGGACAACACGAAGAAAAATGCAACAACATTGTTGAATAAAAAAAAAGTGCCTTCTGTTACTTTTTTTATACTGTTGAATCAAAACAAATATCTTGTTAAATAAAGAAAATAATATTATTTCCACCATTATGTAAATGCATACATCGAACTGAACACAAAAGGCAAGAAAAAGTTGACATTGTGATGACGATTTATAAACGAATGATGAATGAAGCCCTGGAAAAGTTTCATACCTGCTTTCCAGGCATCAGCAGACTCAGGATCAGATGATTTTAACACCCAGGAGGCAAAGGCGATGCAGACCATGCACATATCTGACTGCTTCAGTGAGGAGAAAATGCCCTCTTGTCCTGTAAGAGACATAAACAAGAATAAACAAAAAAGGAGGTTATTTTGAATCAAATGTGCTCTGGTGTGATTTAATCCAGTCTGGAGAATAAGCAGCTCAGACGTACTTGTTGCCTGTACAGCGTCCAACACCCTCTTCTGCAATGCTAGCTCGCTAAACAGCAGAAAAGGAGATGAAGAGCCTCTCCTGGCAGTGAGCACTGTGAGTGGTGGGTCCACACTCTTCGTGGTGATCTTCTCAACCTCATCTGGGAACACCGTGGCTCCAGATCTACTACACCAGATGCTCCCTTTGTCAGGAAAGCGAACCTTCCTCATCAAACTTTTCCAATTGTAGAATCCATGTGAGGCAGACACCCCGGAATCGTCCCCCTTGAAGAAAGAGCCAGACATGATCCTGAATGGGGAGATGTCGCCTTCCTCCTCGAAGTCTGAGCGCAAGAAAACAAAGTCCGGATTTGGGAATGTGAGTTCTCTGATGATGGGCTGAGAACAAGAGAAAATGGGGATGGGTTTCTCCTCACTGCGCTGGAAATTGTAGAGGAAAGAGAATGACATTTCATCGCTGAACGCACAAAGAGAATAGTCATAAACCATTGAGATGTCAACTGGATCATAGACTTTAACACATTGGGAGCCTCCGTTTGTTCCATCATCGCTGTAAAGGTATTCAAACACTTCAGGCAAGGATATATGATCATGTTCACCCAGTAAAGATGTAGGTATTTGTGTTCCCAGGCTGTCGCTAGCTGTTAAAACCACATTTTCTTCCAGAGATGGACAGCTGCTGAGAAACAAACTGCTCTCGTCATTGCCGAGTAACAACTGCAAAGATAAATCCTCTGTTTTGAAAGCTGATAGATTTTGCAAGCTTTTGCTTTTTGTGATCGGTCTTGGCAACCCAAGTCTGCTCAAAATTAAATCACTGGCTTCCTGATCCTCTGCATAGTCCTCTAAAGGCACAGGTGTTTCAGAGCTTAAAGACTCCTCTTCCTCATGTGCTTTGAAAGGAGAATCGCCCGGGCTCTGTTGGCTTTTGCTTTGAGGGTCAGGACTGTGGTTCCTACTGGCGCTAAGATACTGCCAGTACTCTTCTTCAAAATCGGACGTGGAGAACTCGCAGCTTGAACGATCGCGTTTGGATTCGTCGGGCTGTGTGAAATAGTCTGAATCAGCAGTGTCAGATGTATCCATCAGAACACCATCAGACAAATTATACTCCACTGTGTCGAGCAAAGGGCCGTGATCATCTGCGTTTGGTGTGACTGTATCTCTGGGAGGGGTGGTTCTACCCATCCTGAGCTGCAAAATGTCATTTATCGTCAACTTTTCCATTTCATCCCAAAAAGCAGAAATGGCGTACACAGGTCGAGTGTGTCCCGCGGCTTCGGCGTATGTTTCAGGGCTGTCGGCCACAGGGCAAGGGGTTACAGTTAAATCAGGAATGGGGAGCAGCTGATTTACTGAAGAGCCACCAGATGCTAAATGATTTACTTCCTGTTTTTGGAGTCCAGGTGTAGGTGCAGGAAGCGTGCTGTGTGTTTGGTTATCACATGTGGAGATGTCATCTGGCATTCTGTCTGCACTTTGCCCAGCAGATGACTGAACATCGGTGCTTTCATGACCTTCACAGTTAGAAGCTGGTATATCAAAAGAGAGAGTGCCATCATAAGAAAGCATTTCTCTATCTTGCGTGTTGTCTGCCTCGGTAATCTCAGTCAGATTGAATAGATAGCTGTTTTCTGTCAGAGATAATGAGCGTTGCAGTTGTTGGTGTTCCTTGAGAAGATGCTGAAGATCCTCCCATGATTCGGTAGCTGACAGATAGCTTTCAGAGTCAAAACTGTGAGTGGAGAAGAACTCAACACCGTCTTCATATACGTCAGACTCCACACTGTCTAACTTTATCGGTTTTCTGGGTGTAATTCTGTTGTTTGATTTGGATTCTACAGTTGGCTCAATGATATTGTCTTTAGGGGAAGGAGACATCACCAGTTGTTCTGACAAATTGTCTTCCTCATCAGAAGTTAAAGACAATTGCGATGAATCTGAAATGACTCCCATCTGCACACACTCAGAATCTGGTTCAGCACATTTGTTTACCAAGTTACGGTCTACTTTAGCTTCATTATTATCTGTTGTCGTCTCTAACCTACAGTGGTTTTCAAGTGATCTCTCCTTACGAGTTTTTTTTTGTCTTCGTTTTGTTTTCACAGAGGCAGCACGTACTCCCTGTCGTGCAGGACTCTCGTTCACTGTCACAAACCAGCGCTCTTTCTCTGCTCTTAGACCACTCACATCCTCACTCACAGATCTGTCTGTAGTGATCGGCTCATTTACATCTAGCTCTGTTAGGTTGTAGGAAATGGGGTCAGGTTGCTGTGTGGATATGAGGTCATGAATGTCAGTCTCAATTTGCACAGCTTCATCTCCTCTTTTCAGCTCTGACGATTCTCCCTCTGAACACTGAACATTTAGTTGCTCAGTTTGCAGTGTAATTTTGATGTTGGGATGTTTCTCCTCTTCGATGTGCTCTGCTGTGTTGAAGGCATTTTCTTCAGGATTACCAAGGCCTGCTTCAGCTTTAGTTTCTTCTTGTCCTCCTGCTGAACCACACTGAACCACCTGCACTGATACAGACTTCACACCATCTGTGCAGTTCTCTTCCTCCATGCAGCATCCTGCAGCACTGCCTTCAGCTCCATCACTGCTTGCAGCACAGCTCTGCTCTGGCTCCTGATGGCCTGCGCTGAACACTGAGCTTGGGTTGCCCAGTTCCTCTGAATCACTGAGGCTCCAGCTATCAGGGCAGGCGAGCGAAGGCTGCACCAGACCACACTCCTCGCACTCCTCATAGAAGCTGGTCCAGTCATCATTTGCAATGTGAATGCTGTGATCCAAATCATCCATTTTATATCTCACATGCTCCTGAATCTGAAAATAAGAAGACAAAAGATCAATGTTGGAAGGGTTGCATATTTAGGTATATTGAATAGGCCAATGCAATGTGTTGCAGTACATCCTTGGTATCCCCACTGAGTTATAGTTGAAGTTCCATCAACTAATTTGAGCTAAATATAGAGCGTTGGTTAGGAGTTTAACCTTGCTTGTAATCAGCTGTCAATAGCAAACTGTTGCTCAGAAATCAAACATGCTCTTGAGTTAGTTCAAAGCTTGAAAGGGCAGCTAAGCAACACCAGAGTACTACAGTCACAAGAGCCATAACATATCTCAAAAATACTCCGGTCATATGACCTGATATGAAAAATTCAGCTCTCCAATGTCAGGACACAACATGCTGTATCAGCATAGCAAACATACAATGTTTATAATACCTTAGATTTAGCACTTGATCACATTTGTAGTATTGTTTAGCTACAGGTTATTGGTTAAATGTTATTTTTCAGGTGTGGAGTTGTTAGGATCACTTGCTCTGCGTCAAAGTCGTTTACAGGTCTACTCGAGTACATAATCAACTTGAAGTATATCGTTAAAGAACGTTTATGTTTTTTAGTTTCTATAGTACAAAGAAAACCTACCTGTTACAGAATGACGAAGCGTCCACTTTGAGGTGTCAGTTCTTACTCCCTGCAGGGGCATTTCAGCTCTGATGTCCGTCTGCCCTTGTGTATGTCAGACCGGGGCCTTGCACTCGACTGTTATAAATAGAGTAGTATGTCCAGTCACATGTAGCTGCAGTCGTCCGTCCCTCTATTACCAGAGGTATGACATTTCAGTACCTTCAAAATACAAGCCCTCTTACAGTCATTAGAGGTGACTCCCAAAATACATTCCATTATAACCCTGTAGAAGTGCAAGGACACTTGACACATTGCAGATGGATCATGGGTATTTATACATAATTCACATTTATTTAAAACATCTTAACAAATATCAACTCATGCTACTTCCCTCTCATAGAAAAAAAAGAGATTAATGATTAATCCACAAAACTTTGTACGTCATTACAATCCCAGAGAATTTAACCATCTAATCTTTGTTTCAATTCTTACACAGAAGTACTTGAAAACCCTTTGAAATCAAGAACACAAGTGTAGAATTAGTAGTTTTTTTTTTTAATTAACTGGTCTTACTTTAAATATTTTTGAACACATTTGCCAATCTGACTTTAGATCATGTCAGGGTATGTGTGATAGCAAAGATATATATATATATATATTTAAATCCTCCCTAAAACCTTAACAGCATTGTGATATTCAAAATAATTTTAAATGATGACCGCTATATTTCTCCAGCGTCCCTATCAGAGAAGGATGACATATGTATATTATCTATTTACATAGAGATAATGATAGTACCCTGCTGACCACAAGTGAATATAAAGACATGTAATACCTTTGTTTCTCATTTGTTTAATAAAACAATACAATTATAATGTGATTGGCAGTATAACTTGTCACTCATGTAAAAATAAATTAATGTCTGGCACACAGTTAGGAATGATTTATTCTCTTTATTTATTAGCAGCAGTAATCATAAAAGAAACATAACAACTTTTACATTTGTCTTTGAACGATATGAAAACACAGCAGCGTGAGTTCATTTAACTGAGGGAAACAATGGTTATGGAAAGGTGCTTTATTTCTCCAAACATTACATACATAATTCTGCATGGCATTGAAACTAGAATATGTACATTACCTCATTACAAAAGCAATACGTTATTTGTATAAAACAATATGTACATGTTTCAAGCTAATGTTTGTCTGTAAGTCAAACACATCAAGGGGAATATTCATAGTTTGATTGCTGCCTTTTATCTGGTTCACTTCATGTTGCTTTAGTGTCGTCAACATACAGAAATATATGTAGTTAAATAGCAAATAAAACTTAGATATCTAGCCTCGTTTTAGGATAGTGTACAGTAAAGGCCACTGGATATAATTTAAATACCCAATTATTCCTCACATCATTCTTAAATGTTTCCTGGCTGTTTTAAAGCTGATAATGGCACAGTAATCACAGTAATGGCACACAGTTTTCTTCAGACAACATTTGGCAAAAAGTTAATAGAAGTCAAGTAAAATTCAAAATGCAGCAATATGTTGCCATCCATACAACAACAACACAAATCACAATCACACTTGTTGGCAACTAGTCTTGAGATTTTCTTTTAAAAGGATGACCTCAGACGAATAAAGTGCACAAGGATTCAGTCATTTTATATTCCTAAAGGAAAGAGATCTATTGGAATCTAGATATACTTTAGGGACAAAAATATGCATTTTAAATGTCAGATGACAGTCCTTCCTATATAAAAATATGAACTTTAAATTCTTCACCTCTTTCATGTTTCACTGGGTCTGTTGTGGAATAAAATGTATGATGCGATGCACAATGCCATTGTTCATGAGTAATACATTCACCTTGATTAAGCTCACAAAAACAATAAATACAAATGCAATAATAAAAAAACTAAAGCAATAACACATTCATCCATACAGTGCCTTTAGTAACTCGCTCTAAAATACCCCGCTATTTGACACATCATATATTCAGTTGGTCTGATTGTAATCAGTAAACCTCAGTGCACTTCACAAAATGTAAATAAATATCACAGGTAAATAACATTCTATTTAGCAAAATATAAAATGTCACTGGGCTGTCACTTTCCCCCCCCCTAAAAAAGCCCTGTCACTTGGTCACTGGCTTTATAGTTATTTGCTGTAAAAGGAGTAGTTGGACATTAGAAAAAACAAGTTTATCCGCCTTCTTGCAGTGAGTTAGATAAGAAAATCAATACCACTGTCAGATCTGTTAGAAATATGGCTATAGACAGCAGCCGGTTAGCGTAGCTTAGCATACGGCTGCAAACAGCTAGCCTGGCTTTGTCTCAAGGTAACAGATCTGCTCACCAGCACCTTTAAGCTCTCATCACAACTGTAATATTGTTCGATAAATCAAAAAACCAAAGTGTAAAAGCGATAATTCACAAGTAGTGGGACCCGTACCAAGTGGAAAAGTTTTCCCATGTCAGTTGTTATACACATAAGATGAGAAGAAGCTTAATGTCAAAACATTTCTTAATTCGACAGGTCCACATATCGAAACCATCTAAATAAGTAAACTGATGACATAGTTCAAACAGCAGATGGATAATAACAGTGTTAACTTGTAAAAACAAACCAGCCTGTAAGGTTTAAAACGTACAGAGAAATACTGAAACTAGTTTTGTAAAAAAAAAACACATTTAACATAAATTAGTCATAGAGACTGTGTCAAGAAGACTTTTTTTAATACAGCCCACACTCTTGTAAAATAGAGGAAAAGTAACAGCCCGAGTGACAATAATGCAGCATAAGCAGCTTCAGTTAAATATGGCTACCTACGTACAGTACAAGCCACCTGGTGTTCTTCACACTGCTGAACCTTCACATGATAAGAAGAAAACCTTACATCGTTCCTGAGCGTTCTCTCCTACCAGCACTCCCTCCCCTCCTCCTACTCTTCCCCCTCCTACACATTATAAACCTGGGTGGTGGATGTGGTAGGTACGGCGGGTGCAGCGGGCCTCTCCCTTCTGACATATCTTGGCTTCCTCACTTCAAAAGAAACACAAAACAAAAGGCAACATAAATCACCTTTGATGAAAACAGGAGAAGACAAGCACTGGAGACACTAATAGCAGAGATAACTCCAAGCTGGATTTGTATGCTTTGATCACGTTTCGTTTGTGAATTCAAGCTTGTCATCAGCTTTCATATATTTAACACTTGTCTACAATGTTGCTAAATAATCCCTTTTACTGTTGGACTGCTTCCATTAGTCATAGCTTCACATACAACCAGTTCTGCAGGGTCAGAGAATCAAAGCAGGAAGTTCCCGGTTAAGATAGTGAAGTCGTCTTACCTGTCGAGGAGGGGATCATTACAGCCTAGAAGAGAAAAAAACACAGATATGTCTTTGTACTACAAGACACAAGACATTCCTGAGGATATGAAAAATAAAATCAAACATTGTGAAGGAAACATAAAATGTACTCACTGTCTCACTTGGTTGGAATATGAAGGCTGTAAAGTGCACAAGATATTGTTATGTTTCAGTTTAGCTGAATGAAGAAAGGTATTATCACTGGAGCGTAGCAGTAACATTGTGTGTACATGCTTTATTATATTTGATCTAATGGGTATGGTGGGTTGACAGCACTTTGTTTACATAACTACAGTCTCTCAGAGCGGTGTAGTGCTTACCTTTGTTGCGGCGGTAGAAGATGTTTGGGAGTCTGTTGGAGCGTTTGAGGTAGAAAAAGGAGGCAACAGAGAGGATCAGGAACAGGCTGATCAACAGTGTTCCCAGAAGAAGAGAGGCTGCGACACCTGGCCCTCCTGTTGAGAAATATTAGAAAACACACTAAAGGATTTGTGAGAAAGGTTCTGAATATATTAGATGCTGGAGCTATTTACTATTACATCACACAGAGGTTGTAACCTGTGGAACTGGGTTCTTTTATCTAACTTACATTTCAAATGATAATAATACAAACGGATTATAAAATCCTTAACCATGGTTAATTTACTCAATTTAAAGGACATCTACTTAAAACTGAAATTGCAGTTGTATAATTTAAACTTTAGAAATATATTCTTATAGGCCAAGAAACAAATAATATGCTTAAGCTAATGGATTGAGATATCTTACCAATTTTTGGAATGACAGTCGTTACAGTTGTGTGATTTTTCTTTTCCAATGTATAGTCTAGTGAGCACACAAAAAGGGCATATTTTTTAAATAAATGTGTTACATTCAGACATTTTATTTATTTGAAAACAGGCCTTGTCCTTACTGTAGGTGCAGACTGTTATGTTATCCAAATCCACAGCTGCTGAGTCACAGAATATGCAGACAGTGTTGCTGTTCTCAAGGACACGCAAGAAGCATCCTGAAAAGAAAAAACAAGAAAAATCCCATTTCCTGTCCTTTTGTACCATGGTCAAAATAAATATTAATTCCACTCTGCAATGTAATAGTCACAACATTATGTTACATTTTTCAATATATACTGTATTTATGGTACATCCACAAATACAGTATATTACATGATGCTTGTTAGACGCTTTTATCCAAAGCGACTTACTGTGGGCAATCCCCACAGTAACAATTTGGGGTGAAGTGTCTTGCCCAGGGACACAACGATATGCTGACTGCAGTGGGGTTTGAACCTGTGACCCCCTGATCCGAACACCTACGGACAACCCACTGCACCACACACCTCATTATACATAGTATATATTGCTGAAGTTTAAATATTTTGTTTATCCACTAAAACTGTTTGCCAGTTTAAAATGAATAAAAAAACTAAAAAGGCTGGTTTCCTTTTTTTCACACATTGCTAAGCATAATGGTAACACATCAGCACATAGACTGACATTGAAAAAATATGAATTCTATATAAAATTCTGTGAACTTTGATCCCAAATTGGGAAATTCCTATCTTGCAAGGTTACTAGAAAGGAAATATATACATATCAATATAGCGATACACACATGTATGGGCAGAGTATCATTTCACTCTTGCTTATCTCTAACCGAAAAGGATACAAATAAAAGTAAAGTTAAAAAGTGTGGCTCAAAGTTACAGTTTGGTATGTGTGCCAGGATGATTCAAAGCTTGAAAACATTACCTGGCTCACAGTGGGTGTCATTCGAACATGAATTGTTCCCTCTCTGTTTCTCGCTGCAGCACTCAAGCGAGTTCTGATGTAAAGCCTACGGACCAAACCACATTCACAGATTAACAAATCAGTATTTCATGAGAAAATCACACATTAACTCTTTGGCTGAGTAATATCCGTTTTTCTACCTTAGTGACAGGTGTCTCGGGTCTGATCATAATCACAGTTGCAGCCAAGACCAGAAGGAACGACAGAGCCATAATCAATGCCTAAAAGATCAAACAGACTTGATTAAATACACCTCACTGACTTTGATGAGATCAGATACATTTACCTATTAAAATAAGAGTGCTAAAAAACAACACAATTTCACTGGTTTGTTATATACACGGTATGCAATAGATTGGTCTAATTCTACATATCTGTGCTCTGCTGTTAGTAGTTGCCGTTTTTCTATTTTCTTTTCTTATCACTGATGACTAAATTAAAAATATATGGACTGAGTAGTTCAATTTGAAGTTTATCTTTATGCACCCAATTTACAAAACTTGGAAAAGTAAAGAAAGGATATACAGTGCAGAAAGAACCAGAAAACCCACCGGCCTTATTCAAAGCCTGCACCTAAATAATGTTAAAATGTCACAAAATTAGTAGTGGAAGTGCAATGCTGCCCCCTGTTTATTTGAAGCATGGAGCCATGCATCAGCCCACACTTTGTTCCTTTAACTTAGCTGATGTCACAATATAATTATAGGTTCAAATCACCTTTTGGCTGAGAATAGGTTTAACATATGTTTGATGTTGCATCCTAACTAAAACGTTAGAGATGCACACAAACACCTTAGTTTAAATACACACAGAGATCTCATTCCTGCATATCTTTTCTTTATAACTTTTACAACTACATTTTTAATGCAACGCAATGTATTGGTAACGTTAGAGCTTTAACCAACATATTTAATGTCTCAGTCATTTGCATGTAGTGTGCTAACGTCATTTGAGTTACACAGGATACATGCAAGGTGTTTAGCTAGCTAGCACCTGTCACAGGGAGGAAGTTCAGTCTTCGGTCAGAGATAACATTACGATGCCAGCGTTAGAGAAGTAGATTCACTGACTTATCCCTTCAAATCTGTTTTATAATCACAGACAGAGCAGCAGCACATAACTAAAAGTTAACTCACCTGCCAATCCCTAGGCTTTGGCCTGACCAAACTCCTTGATGTGGTGTAATCAGATTCAGATCGGTTTCGCCGCAGAGGTCTTTTTTTTTTTAGAAAGTCACTGATAGTTTGGCAGATTTGTCATCAACACACCTCTGCAATTCAACCACAGACTGTCAGTGCGTAGCTCATTGCTGTAGCTACCTGATTTCATTTAGCATGCACACTTCCGGGTACGATTTTCAAAATAAAATTACAGGTATTTATGTGAATAAAAGATGTGGATCTATAGAGGTTTCTCAATACTCAAATTTCCCCTCCTCGACTCCTATCCTCGATTCCCCTCCTCGAGACTTGGTGCCGCCCACAGGAGATGCGAGCGGAGGACTGAGGAGGGGAACCGAGGAGAGAGGAGTGGAAGCAGCAGGCGGTTAGAGAAATGAGAACTCCTCTCCTCTGAGCGGTCATTTTAAAGAGACGTCCATTAATGATGACAGGAGGCACAGCAGCCCTCTGTCTGATGGACAGATGTGTTCATGATGACTTATATATTTACTTTTAATTCATTCACAGTGCGGTATAATGAGACAATAACAGGCTACAGATGCGGACATATACACACACACACACACACACACACACACACACACACACACACACACACACACACACACACACACACACACACACACACCACACACACACACACACACACACACACACACACACACACACACACGTATATCCCCCCTCCACCCTTCTCTCTGGTCGCTGAAATGGGGAATTGAAATTACGGGCCAAAAGTTGTACAAGTATTAAAAGTAAGCATAGGACACCAAACCAACTGAGACCCGTCTGTCCGCCGCATCAATGCACTGTACAACACACACACACACACACACACACACACACACACACACACACACACACACACACACACACACACACACACACACACACACACACACACACACACACACACACACACACACACACACACACACACACACACACACATACACACTGTACCACACACACCTGCTGCTAAAACATAATCAGGCTACAGCCTTGTGTATTTTATTATGTGAAGCACTAAATGGTCTTAGAAAAATATCGACTCTTTGTTTGTAGATATCTACTAAACTACAGCATACAAATACATAAAGTAATGTAGGCCTGTTATACTGAGTGATATATATGTTACACACTGCTCTGCTGTCTGCACGGACCTCACAGCTGTTCTCACTGTAAACATCGCGTTGTGATGAAAGCAGTTACTAATAATATCCAAGGGATGCATGCAGAGATAAGTCCGGCCGTGCGTCACGCCTCCACCGTTCCCGGAAATGCATCGGTGGAGGAGCCGTGGAGGATGCATCAGTGGGTACTTCTCACTTCGGTTAAATGGATTCCTTGCGTCCCTCACTTGCGTCGTTTCCCTGCGTCTAGTCCCTCCCACCAGGGAATCATGGAGAGACGCAAGGAAACCACGAGAAGCAGGGAAATGAGTTTTAAGAGCAATGGGACGTCCTTTCCTCCGGGGCGCCACGTGAAGCGACGTCCGATTGTGATGACGCCGCACAGCTGACCGTCTGACAGCAGCTCTGTCCCCGTTATTTCCACACACACGTACCCCGCCTCTGTTAGCACACATGTACTGACACAAACATGTGTATCATCTGTTGTAGACCCAAATACATCAAATCAAATCAGAACTCATTCTCAAAAAAGATAAACGCCATTCTTAAAATGTAGGCTATAAACGAAAAATAGTTAGATTAATATTGATTAGAGTGCACAATAGAAATAAAATAATTGAGAGAAGAAAAAGAGTTATATTATCTATCAAAACCCAGTTAGATTAACATACATTGGATTGCACACTTTGTTTGTTTGTGTGGATATGTAGCACATTAACATTTTAATAGCACTTAATGACTGAATGAATGGAAATGACAATAAATGAAAATAAAACGAAAAAAGTGATCATGAAAATGTTTCCAAAAAATGAATAAAATGATTTTTGCCCACTTTGTTGTTCAGATATATCACATATTTGTAACTAAATGAGACATTAATTGAAACAAAACACGGTATAAACTGAGGAGTGAGTCCCGTGAGGTTCATGTATTTTCTTCACTCCGCTGGGAAACTGCTCTCATGTCAAGAAGCATGAGATCAGTGCATGCGCTGCATCGTCCAATCAGTGAGCGATACACAGTAAGGGGGCGGGGCGAGTGTCTGAGGATTTCATCGAAGGATGGTCTGGTGGTTCCTCGATTATAGCTCCTCCATTATCGTCCTCGCTCCTCGGTCCTCGATCCTCCGGCAAAAATAAGGCCATTGGGACGGTACTCAAGATGGCGCAGACAAATCAACTTCCGGTGAGACCGAGACCGAGGAGCGAGGAAATGAAATATAAGAGAAGTGAGAAGGGCCCAGTGTCTCCTCGGTTAGAGCTCCTCCAGAGAGCCTCCTCGATGCTCGGTCCTCGAAGTGCATTTAGAGAAATTAGATGTCCTTCAACATGGCGCGCTGAAATTAATTTCCGGGTCACTACCGGAGGACCGAGGAGTCGAGGAGGGGAAATGTGAGTATTGAGAAACCTCTTATGAATTGGAAAAACTAATTTGAAGGTTGCAATAATAATAATAATAATAGCAAAATGATTGATTGGTGTTTAATTTACATTAAAGGGTCACTGGACAGTCATAATTCATAATGTAACTTGCATTGCTTTAAGAACAATTAAATAACAATAAAGACTGAGGCTGATTTATAATTATGCTGCATCATAACAGGCCCACTCGAGAACAAATATATAACAATGAAAATGTAATTAATTGAAGCATATTTGAATACATGACAGAAATGAAATGAAACATTGAATATCTCCATGTTTCTGAATGTGAATGTAACAATACTATTTAAATTAAATATTGATTTTATTAATTTATTTTGTTTGATACAATCTTAATGTAAACTGACTTTCTGGCTGACTTAGTAAACCAGTCAGCCAGAAAGTCAGTTAACATTAAGTAACTACTAACTAAGTCTAAATGCTGTGGGGATAAAATGTCGATTAAAGGTAGGGTAGGTAAGAATGGAGAAACCAGCTCGAGTAAGCAAGAATTTGAAAGTACGCAGCCGAAAAAAATCTGCCCCTTCCTTCAGACTTCCTTCAACACACACAAATGCGTACATGGGCCCTTTCTCATTTCATCAAATCCCCCTCGGTCCTCCGGTAGTGACCCGGAAATGAATTTCAGCGCGCCATGTTGAAGGACATCTCATTTCTCTAAATGCACTTCAAGGACCGAGGATCGAGCGTCGAGGAGGCTCTCTGGAGGAGCTATAACCGAGTATACACTGATGGGTCCTCCATGGTCCTCCACGGCTCCTTCGTGGATGCATTTCCGGGAACAGAGATGTTTCAAAGAGTCGTGACGCACGGCCGGACTTATCTCAGCCAATGACAGCTCTGCATGCATCCTCTGGATATTATTTTATTAACTGCTCTCATCGCGACGCGATGTTTACAGAGAGAACAGCTGTGAGGTCCGTGCAGAAAGCAGAGCAGTGTGTATAATATATATCACTCAGTATAACAGGCCTATTTCTCTTTATTTGCTTTAGTTTAGTAGATATCTACAAACAAAGAGTCGATATTTTTTTTAACCATTTAGTGCTTCACATAATAAAATACACAACGGCTGTAGCCTGATTATATGCTTTAGGAGCTGTAGGTGTGTGTGTGGTAGGCTACAGTGTGTATGTGTGTGCATGGGTGTCGCAGCCATTATATGAGGGTGGGACAAGTCCCCCCCACTTTTTCAAATGATTAGTTTAGACCCACCCCACTTTTACTATGCGGAAAATCCGTGAATCGGTCTATCCACTCGCCGCACTCTGTAGAGCGCTGTGTCAGTGCTTCATATCAAATCCATTCCACTTGCTTATTGAGAGAATGTCCAAATCAATGAAACTCCGTAGCCTACCATGTTTTCACTGCTACTTTGTACCAAGGCAGATTCTCACATAGCGCGCGCATGTTCAAGGAGTGTTGTATAGTTGGACAGCTCAGATCTGTTGTATGAAGCGATGTCGGTAGCAGAGGTAAGGCACACATGTAACAGCCTAGTGAGGCCTGTTAACATCAAATTTATATTAAAAGATTCGGATTCCCGGCCACACCAATACAGTGAGAAGGACAGCACAATAGGTGTAAAATGGTTTATTTGTACAAAGTTACCTTAAAAACACTCCTTTGATAACTACTTAAAATAACGTAAGGTTAAAATAATGTTCAATAAATATAAACCAGTTACTTAAGAATTACAGTTTTAGCAGGGGTTGATAAAATCCTGAAAGTCCTGTCCGCTTCGAAGCGAACTCAACTCCGGGGTTTTGCCAGGCAGAAGTGCAAGGTTCAAGTCCCTTCCAGGAAATCCAGTGCCAGGATTTCCACGTTGCCGGCCCGCCGCACTCTGTCCGTCAGCCTCTGGTCGCGGAGCCCTCGGTAAACAACAAAAGGAGACTCAGGGGAGGGGACAACAATGTAACTTTCGTGACGTAAAACTAGACTGCCAAAAGCAAGAGAAATAGCCACTTCCCTTTATCTGGAGTTTGTTTGAGCGTTGAATCCGATGGTTAGAGGAGGGTCTGATTGATTGATTGATTGATTGATTGATTGATTGAAAAGTTTATTAACAGCTTGTATATTGGGTACAGTACAGTACAGCTCAAAACATACAACTGTTAAGGGGATGCAGACCAGAGAAAGACTTTCGTCTTGTTTACATCATGGTCCCCCATTTCCAATTCATCATATCATTTAAGACAAATAAGACATATTTGACATACAGATGGCTTATTTACAATTTACATACAGGTGTTTTTTGTTGTTGTTGTTGTTGTTGTTGTTTTTTATACATACAGATTGCTTATTTACAATTTTCATTTTAGATTTCGTTCTAATACATCCTAACCGGACATTTAAGACATACCAAGTCTACAGATATACAGTTAGTAACAGAGTCTAAAATGCGAGTATATACATAGATGGGGGGGGGGAAGCTGTCCATTGAACGACAGGTTGAGATTTGTACCATTACCGGGGCCAGTTTTGCAATGCTCTCCCCCGAAGGTGCTCTTTAAGAGAGGTTTTGAAGGTAAGTATAGTTTTACTTTCCTTTACAGTTGTGGGAAGAGCGTTCCACCTTGATGTGGCATAATTGCGAAACGTGTATTCCCCCTTTTTTGAGCCAAATCTGGGT